GGCGAGAGGGCTGCCGTATACTTCATACATCTTCAAGTATGGCTCTGGGTTTTATTTAAGCCGAAATTTAGCAAAGTCGTATTTAAAGTTTTATATATTTAAAATAGATTTTTTATTTTAAAATATTAATATTTTACACTTTATTTGTTTTGTTTTGTTTTGTTTGAGTCGGAGTCTCACTCTGTGGCCCAGACTGGAGTGCAGTGGCCGCTCCCGGCCACCGCAGCCTCGACCCGCTGGGCTCCGGCGATCCTCCCGCCTCAGCCTTCCGAGTAGCCGGAATTACAGGCGCGCGCTGCCATGCCCAGCTAATTTTTTGATTTATTGTCGAGATGAGGTCTCGCCAAGTTGCCCAGGCGGGTCTCGAACCCGCGGGCTCAGGTAATCCTCTCGCCTCAGCCTCCCAAAGTGCTGGAATTACAGGCTGAGCCACCGAGCCTGGCTTTACACTTTATTTTAAACAAGTATTTACATATGTATCTAAAACAAATATTATCTCAGTTTATTCCTTTTTTCTTTTTTGAGTTGGAGTCTCACTCGGTCGCCAAAATTGGAGTGCAGCGGCCGCTCCCGGCCACTGCAACCTCGGCCTGCTGGGCTCCGGCGATCCTTCCGCCTCAGCCTTCCGAGTAGCGGGAATTACAGGCATGTGCTACCAACGCCCGGCTGATTTTTTGATTTATCGTGGGGATGAGGTCTCACTGCCCAGGCGGGTCTCGAACCCGCGGGCTCAGGCAATCCACTCATCTTAGCTTCCCAAAGGCGCGGGATTACAGGCTGAGCCACCGAGCCCAGCTCTAAAATAGATTTTAAGCGACAGAGTGAGACTCCAACTCAAAAAAAAAAAAATCTACTTTGGGTGTTTGTTAGAACACTTAAATTTTATTTTAAGCGCTTATTAAATGTTGATAGCATTCATTTAAATGTTTAAACTAGCCGGGCTCAGTGGCTCAGCCTGTAATCCCGCACCTTTGGGAGGCTGAGGTGAGTGGATTGCCTGAGCCCGCGGGTTCGAGACCCACCTGGGCAGCGAGACCTCATCTCTACAATAAATCAAAAAATCAGCCGGGCGTGGTAGCGCATGCCTGTAATTCTGGCTACTCGGAAGGCTGAGGCAGAAGGAACGCCGGAGCCCAGCAGGCGAGGCTTTGGTGGCTGGGAGCGACCACTGCACTCTAGTCCGGGCAACAGAGTGAGACTCCAACTCAAAAAAATAAATAAATAAATAAATAAATGTTTAAACTTGCCGGTCCAGTGGCTCACGACTATAATCCCAATACTTTGGGAGGCCGAGGTGAGAGGATTGCTTGAGCCCACAGGTTCGATACCAGCCTGGGCAACTTGGTGAGACCTTGTCTCTAAAGTAAATCAAAAAATTAGGTGGGTGTGGTAGCGCGTGCTTGTGGGTCCAGCTATTTGGAAGACTGAGGTGGAAGGATCGTCTGAGCCCAACAGGTCGAGGCTGCAGTGGCCTTGAGCGCACCACAGCACTCCAGCCTGGGTGACAGAGTGAGACTCTGACTCAATACATACATACATACGGCCGGACCTAGTGGCTCACACCTATAATCCCAGCACTTTGGGAAGCCGAAGTGAGAGGATTGCCCGAGCCCTTGAGTTCAAGATCAGCCCGGGCAACTTGGCAAGCCCTCATCTCCACAATAAATCAAAAATTAGCCGGGTGTAGTGGAACACGCCTGTAGTTCCAGCTAATGGGAAGGCTGAGGCAGAAGGATCACTTGAGCCCAACAGGATGAGTCTGCGTTGGCCATAGCACATCAGCCTGAGCGACAGAGTGAGACTCCCACTCAAAAAAAAAAAGAATGTCAGCCGTGTCATAGATGAACCCGGAAGACATTCTGTTCAGTAAAATAGCCAGATAGCCAGTCACAAAGAAGAAATATTGTATGAGTCCACTTTTTGAGGTAGAGGGGTCAAATTCACAGAAAGTAGATGAAAGGCTGGAGGAGGGAGAGATTGCTTATTGGGTGCAGTTTCTGTTTGGAATGGTGAGAAAGTTCTGGAGATGGATGGGGATGAGGGTTGTGCAACATTGTGCACGTACTGAATGTCACTGAACTAAACAATTAAAAACAGGATAAGCCAGGTGCACTGGCTCATGCCTATAATCCCAGCACTTTGGGAGACTGAGGTGATAGGATTGCCTGAGCCCATGGGTTCAAGACCAGCCTGGGCAACTTGGTGAGACCTTATCTCTACAATAAATAAATAAGAAAATTAAGCCGGGCTTGGTGGTTCAGCCTGTAATCCCGCGCCTTGGGAGGCTGAGGTAAGTGGATTGCCTGAGCCCATGGGTTCGAGACCCGCCTGGGCAGCGAGACCTCATCTCTACAATAAATCAAAAAATTAGCCAGGCGTGGTAGCGCGCGCCTGTAATTCCAGCTACTTGGAAGGCTGAGGCAGAAGGATTGACGGAGCCCAGCAGGTTGGGGCTACGGTGGCCGAGAGCAGCCACTGTACTCTGATCTGGGCAACAGAGTGAGACTCCAACTCAAAAAAAAAAAAAGAAAAAGAAAATTAGCCAGGCATGGTGGCACATGCCTATAGTTCCAGCTACTTGGAAGGCTGAGGTCGAAGGATCACCTGAACCCAGCAGATCGAGGCTGTGGTGGTCGTGAGCGTGCCATTGCACTCCAGCCTGGGTGATAGAGTGAGACTCTGGGTGATAGGGGATGAAAAAAATAGGATGGTAAATCTTACTTTATGTATATTTTATCACACACGCACCCCTCCTCAAAAAAAATTGCAATTTGCCCATGACATGACTATACATGGCAATACCACGTATATATGTCATTCCCAAACCCAAAGCGGCTCACACCCAGTGTCTATCTGCAGTAGCGTGCATACCTACATTATGCTGTTTCAGCCCCTGGAATACTATACAGGCATGAAAGAAACCATATCTACTGGCAGCAACGTGGATGTTTCTCACAGACATGGTGTGCCACACAAAGGAAGCAGGGACTGCATGATTTCTTTTTGTCAAGGAATTGTTTTCATTGTGGAAAGTTCATACAAAATGTCCTAAATTTTTATTTTTATTTTTTTTGAGTCGGAGTCTCACTCTGTCGCCCAGACTGGAGTGCAGTGGCCACTCCTGGCCACCGCAGCCTCGACCTGC